AGTACTCAATGTCCTTTTAATATCTGAGTTTCAGGACATGGGAAGATTGGGGTGACTAGTTTGGGATTTTTTAAATTTTTTAAAAATCAAACTATTTGATTCCCAGCTTCTCCTCCTCTCCCTTGATCATTCTGGTTTATTAATATTCAAGATTTTGGTGAAAGACATACTGAAGGCAATTTTTTTTTAATTACACAATTTCCCTCTCTTTCAACTGCTGGAAACAAAATCCATCAGTTTCATCAGCATTTGCCTTCAATTCTTTTCCTCTCCCCTTCTCAGTTATCTAGTGGGATGGGGAAAGAGAGGGAAACGTGATGCCAGCTTAAAAAAAGGCAAAGTCTATGCAGGGAAGGTGAAGAATCTTACTACACGCCATTACACTTACAATGGAAGTCCAATGAAATATGAAAAGCAGCATTTTCCCTAGATTTCATACACACTTTTACTCTCCCTTTGACAAAATTGAAAGGAAAAAGAATTAAGCAATCTATAAGAACCAGAAACAAAGTGTGGAAAGCCACAGTTTTGGTTCTAAATGCAAAGCAGGAAGTCCTATGTTCTAACCGAGAGGAAAAAAAAATACTTATTTTGAAGCCAAATGAGCGGCTCTATTTCAAGAAGCCTCACGAGTAACAACAAAAGAAGAACCTTGTTTTCAGTCAGAGATTTTTCAAGGGTATTTTTTGTTTGCTTGGCTTGCAGATCACCAACCCACCATTTTAAGAGGTAAAGCAGTTCCTAAATACCTTCAGAAGATGATGAAGTAACCACATTTAAATTATTCTTCATGCATCAGATTCAGACTTCAATTATTTCATCATCCCACACAATAAAAACAACTCGCAGATACAGATGGCAGCTCCCTGCCACATTATTTTTTCAGACTGGCCAGGACTAAGCCTCATTCTCATACTGAAGCTACTTCCAGAGAGCTGGCAAAAGACATTCTCCTCTTTCAGGCTCCAAACAAGTGACTACTGAAGCCAGGTGGAAGCATTGTAAGGGCTCCACGTTGCAACAAGGCTCCCTTGAGCAGCCAAACAACATGTGGTGGACAGGCAAAGTCCTCTGGAAAGGCACCGATGTTTCACCAGTCAGAACACTAATCCTGCCCCAACCATTTGCTTTTTAAGTTATCTTAAAACATCGATCCCCTACCCAAAGGGTTAGAAAGCAAGACAAGGACCCCTTACTATCAACACTGGTCACAAGAAGCAGGACTGAGATTTCCATTTCGTGTCCTGATATTAAAGAGCAAACATCTGACACTTTATACATGGAGAACTGCTCAGTTTACAGGCTAAATAATATAATTGTGCAATTACTTAATTGTATAATCTGGAAGCACGCCTTCAACCAGAGGCTGTGCAAACAGCCCTGCATTTTATTTTAGCCTAGCTTTCAAAAAGAACCTCTTGCATATTGTGGCTTATTATTAATATATAAGAGCACATATATTCCACTTTATTTTAGGACAAATTCAGCATAATACATTTACTTAAAAATTATTCAAGTAGGTAGGCTAAAGAGTTTGACACTATTTATTGCATAGCACACGCAGTTTTCTCAGGCTGTCAAACCTATCAGACCCAAAAACTCCTCCAAAAAAGGTGGCTGGTAAGAAGACTAGAGCCCACATCCCCCTGTTAGCCAGCACGGAAGCCAAACGGGAGGCAGAATTTTGAAGCCCATCTTCAGAGTCTTCTACTGCACACAGAAGTTCACACTGAGCACAGTAAAATCTCTATACATCAATGAGAAGACCACCGTTCACAAGTGAAAATACATGTACTTTTCAAAACACAAACTGAAGGGACCCACAGAAATACTGACTACTGACAACCAGTTCCTCCTATAGTCTCCTACAGTTTTAAAAGGCACAAACTGAAAAAAAAAAACAAACCCAAAACCAACCAACTGAAAAAAACCCACCCTACTACAATGTTTCTGACCCTCACCAAAAAGATTAAGGGAAGTTCTCAGGATTCTTAGTTTTGGTGCTACCCAAGCCTGAACTCAGAAGAAACGGAGGCACGTTACAAACAATTTTAAAAGTATATCCAGAGCCCTGTGAAGAAAGTTGTCTAATCATAAAATAACTTCTGAAGTATTTAAGAACAAATTAGGGGCGGGAGGGAAAGAAAAAGAGGAAATTGGTGCTTAATATTTGTAAGAGTGAACTCTAAGACAAAGAAGCGGTATTACCACACTGAAGAATTTATAGTATTGCAAGAACAAATGCAAATAAAAATTCTATCTAAAAGAGGGATTTCACAGTACACACTAGATCATACCTCAGAGGCTTTAGCTAGTTTTTTGTTCTTTATGAACAAACTTTGATTAAAGATTCCTCAGTAAACTGTTCTATTACTAGAAACACATTTTCAGTAGACCTTTAACACTTTCTGTTAACTATTCTTTCAAATAAAAAGCAAAGAACAGCACCAAAATAACTACATTTAACAACAAAATAATACTAACCTTACCCTTCAGAAGAAAGCTGCAGTATAGGGAAAATGAACAGCTTGTGGAAACCACTGGAAAACACATTAAGACAGAACTACCTCCATATGCAGTGTTTATTGGATTCTATGAAGTAACACCTGTAGTTGAAAGCTTCTTAGGCAGTTGCAGTCCTCACAGATTATATTTTTCAGTGCATGTGTGTGTGGTTTGCCTTGTCCCATTTTCTTTTAAACCAGGGAAGAAGGAGCTCCATGTCTACACAGGTGTTTTTATGGGTGCATGGCTAATAAATGTTCCTGAAAACCTGACTGTAATAAGCACACAGTCAGCATTCCAGGGGAGGGAAAACAGCTCTGTAAGATACGGCGAGTCAAATACAAACCTAAGGAGATCTTTATAGTAGATTATATCATACAAGTCTTACAGTAATTGGAGATTATAAATATAGGCCTTATCCACAATGCTTTATTTTGCTGTCCTTTAGTCTTATGGGAAAAAAAGACTAATTCATGTTCTATGTAAAAAAGGAACTGATGTTGATGTTGTAATTGGCATGTAGAAGTGTTATTTAAATAGTTAGAGGGTGAAAACAGATGGAGGAAACGTGGTACATAAGGTATGCTCTTCTGTTTTTCCACTTTCAATTAATAGTTCCTTGTTCCAGGCCTGATCTCTTCTCTTGTGCTAATATTCAGGATACATGCCTCTTCCCTTCCACACCTTCTGAAAAATTAGGATGGCCTCATCATCTGCGACAGATTTGTAATTGATTTTGAATACTGAATTCCCTCGGATCAGATCTACTTAGTGTCTCTAGAAATTGTAGTGATGTAAAACTAACTTTTTGTTTCTCATACAGACATCTATTACAGTAGTCCTCGCCACCTTGTCTCAACTCCAGTAGCTCTCTCCTTAACGACTTACCTGACTCATTTCAAGGGTCATGACAATTGTCATCCTCGCGTGCACGGCTCCTAGGGTCAGACTGCTGGTGGCATTTACGCACTTGATTTTCAGAAGCACTGACATGAGTTAGGACACCAAGTGTCTTTGAAAACTAGCCCCAAAATAACTCTGGTTGCCAGTTCATCCCTTGTGAAAAGCTTATCAGAGAGAAGGGTCTGTGAAATTTACTATTTTTCCTGTCAGGCTGACAAGACTGACTAGAGCACATTCACTCTGGAATGTAAAGCTAATTAATGATGTTAAGAAATGCATGAGAACCTGAGTAAAAATAACAACAGTTTGGAGTTACTGCCAGTACCAGTCTCAGGCAATTGACAGCATTTACAGCCCGAAATGTAGGTAGGGTGGCATCAGACATACACTTCCAATCTTCCCCTTTCTGCCAAGAAACAGACACACCTACAAACCCTTGTGATCTATCTTCAGAAGAACTACCTATGAAGTTAGAAACCCTGCTGATACAGCCTGGTACAAACATCAGAGCTCTTCCACAAATGCACTTACTAGCATCATCCACCAGAGAAATTACCGTTCATAGGTGGGCAGCTGTACCCTTGACTGGACACAGGGAAAAATGGTGATGTCAAAGACTGGTAAAACTTTTTAGTCTTATTAAAAATCAGCAGTTGCATCTCTCCTTTTCTAAGCTGGCAAGTTTCTGTTGTTTGGTTGTGTGAGGTTTTTTTCCTATTTTCCTGTGCCACAGGGCATTTTTGGGTTAGTGAGCTCTGAAAGAAAAAAATAAGCAGCAACCACAAAGCAATTATCAAGGAGGCAGGCTGAGCAAACAGCCTATCTTTTTGCCATGAGCCTTCCTTCCTCAGAATGACAGACCAGGCTCTGGCGATCCCGTCAGCTTTCGTGAGATACAGGAAATGCCTGACAGAACCCCATTTCCTCTGGAAGTCTGAAATGGACGTGATGATAAGGTCCCTGCCAGCCTGCTGGCCCTGCAGGGATGTGTTTTCTCTATGGTAAGCAATATTAAGGCAAAGGACCTTCAGGCTCATTAGTTCAGATACAGGCATAATTAACCAGAATTGAAAAGAAGCTTTAACTCCAGATTTATGTTTAGCCTGAAGAGATCTGAATAAGAATTCTTAAGAATAAGGCACCTTTTTAGATCTAGAAACAGAATTTTAGAAGTTTTTAAGTTTACTTGCTCTCAGAAACATCAGTCTGCAATAGGAGCCATCTCCATGCAGAATCTTACATTAACTTTCAACTTCTGCTTCAAGTTTAAGACCTAGAAGTTTGATACAGTCACACAAAAATATAAAGATTGATGAGATAAACTGATCCTGTCAAATAACAATGTTTATTTCAGTTACAGCAAGCACAGGGTTTCTTTTATGTTACTAAGGCACAGAACCAAGGACTGAGCATGTTGCTGGAGATTAAAAAAGAGAAAGAAAAAACCTAAACAAAATCACTTCAAGTAACCAACCCATGGATCCTTCCTCTTCTCCTGCAAGATTCTTAATTCAAATACAGGTCAAGTACATGACACCGTAGCAACTGCTTTGGAGATCTAAATGAAGAGAAACAATGGTCCTAGAGTCAAAATCAGGTGATAAAGAAGTTGAATTGAGATTGCTTCGTGTTTGAAATACCATGGGAGAGACTTTTCCTACAAGGAAGCTCATACCGCTCTCATTGAGTTGTACTTGCTTTCTGCATGGTGCTTCCATAGTTGTCTGGATTCTTCCCTTCCTTAACACTGAAGAATTATAAAGGAGTGGATTAGGTTTCCAAGTGAGTTGATCTCTTTCCTCAAATCCATGGCATTCCTTGTGTAGGTGAACAAGGCTGTAGAAAGATCACTGGCTGGTAAAGAAGAAAGTGTAAAGTTTGTCTTGGGAAGACTTTGAAATATCTGAAGATACTGAACCACAACACAGGCTGAATGGTAGGTGACTAGCTGAGTTCCTCACAGTCAGTGGCGTGACTGTCCTTTGTTAATGGTGAATTTTCATTATCAGGTGTGGCAACAGGGAAAGGTATAAGGTACAGCCTCCCCAAGGGAGACTGATACTCTAAGAAGCACACACTAATACGGCATGTTCTATGCTATAATTTTGTAAAATATTTAGTACAATATTACCATAAAACAAGTGGAAAATGTTAGTTTGTTAGTGCCAACTATAAAATTGAAACTTTGGACCCTCACCCCCACCCTCAAGCCTTAAGATGCCTTTCTGAATGATTTTGTATTCTCTTGATGAAATGCCAAAATTCCATTTTGTTTTGAGTAATGAATTTCAGTTGTCTGTCTTCTTGCTGGGAGATCATCTTCATTTTCCAGTCCTAGCAACTGCCTGAATTGCTCTGATCCACTCTGTACGCTCTGCAGATGAGGCTGCTTGCAAGTAATAGTGAATTTCATTTGCTGTGATGATTTCAAAGAGGATGTTGTCAACATCATACTTCTTGGCTACAGGAAAGAAATGAGGAAGTCAGCTATGAGAGAATAAAGTCTTGTATTTACAGTGTTTCTTCCCTTACACACTGTAAGGGGATTTCCTTCTTTCCTACAGCTGTGCCTGATCAGGCCTTGACAAACAGATTGGAAGATTGGGTCCATGAGATAGGTCTCTCTCTTGGAGAAACAACCCATGAATTCTGCACATTTCATCTTCAAGAGTCTCTGGTTAATTAATCTCCAATCATGGAAAGATCTGCAATCCTGCAGACAGGTCATACTCCCCAAACCTTCCCATGCCTTGCCAGCTACAAAAACAAAGGCTTCAGTTCATGCCATATCCAGAATCTCTAGTTCTTTTCATGTCTACCTACACAGCCTACCCAGACCTTCTTGCTGGGTATGATAGTCTACCTCTCCTGTGGAGAGGAGAATGCACGTGATGAGTGTTTCTTGTTCCTTGCAGCAACACTTAACCATTGCTGTTCCCACATCTTCTAATTTTGGAAGGGAACAGAATGTGAACAGTAATAATATTTTGGCATAACCATTTCTAATGTAAAGCTTCCATCCCAAAATCATCAACTAAAAAGAGCAAACTCAGCTTACTTTGTCTAAGGGCAGTTATCCTAACATAGGGATGGCGTCATCCTTGTGACAAGTCTTTTCTAAACAACTGACAAAACACAAGACTCCCCATTGCTACCTTTACCACAGTATCCTCCTCCAGTAATTGAGACAGCAATAGAGAGACTAGTTACTAGAAGAATTACTGAACCATCACACATAGATTGCTTTTAAGTAAAAGCCATTTGCGATTTCAGGCAGATTGAAAGGTTGTACCAAAAACCTTATGCAATAGGGTTCCTTACAGTCTGGCATATCTTCCACTGCTGTCACCACGCAGCCTCTCAAGTGAATTGCTCCTAGTGGTTCTTCTCCCTGGTGAGGATGTGAAATCAAGATGAAATGCAACACTTCTGAAACTGTTCATGTGTTAATATCTGGCTACAACTCAAGAATGAAAATTAAAATATTTGCTGACTTAGTATGTCACCTGGGAAACCTCAGGGGATCCTCAGTCTGTGTGTGACATGGAGGGTTGGGGGGTGTGATAGGGGGGCAACCTGAAAATAAATAGGAAATCTCTTTTGGGATTTAGAATTCAGGATTTGCAGAGTATTTTAGCATGTCCTGAACAAAGGTATAAGAAGAATATAAGCCTGTGCCAACCATAACCTTCCTTTTGATGTCACAGTGAATAGAAAAAAAAATGAGATAGAAAATGAGTTGATCTTAGAAGCATTCTTGCCAAGTAGCAGGAGCAGCTACACCCTTATTTACAATGTGGCCTCTTGTGCACTTCAGGACTGCGATAGTCAAAGAATGAGTGAAGATAGATTTTTGTTGGCGTATGTTTCAAAGGAGCAGTCCCTAGAAGCTGACACACCTCAGCCCTTTGGGAGGAGAAAGGCAAGCTGTGACCACAGAGGTCCGAAACCCCTCAGTGTTGATTCTCCAGTGTGTCTAGGCTGCCTCTGCCAAGGGGGACAGGCACAGCATAAAGCACCTGTAACCCACAGCGGCATGGCTCCTGTAGCAATGTAGGATGAAATAAAACCTGTGAGCTGAATCTACCTGAATGCCAGCTTGTGGGGGGCAGGTTTTGCCTGTGGCAATGCTCCTTCCTTTCTTAGGGCAGAATTTGACCCATTAGAATTACACAAGAAACACCATGCCTCAGCCTAACACAGAAAATAGCTCAATTACAAACTGCAAAATGTCTGTATTGTGTTCATTTGCCCTTATAACATTGTTCACTTTAATCAAGTGAGAGCACACATTAATTCTAATCAATCACAGGTAAGAGGTGAGAGCACAATTCAGTGTTAGCTGCTCCCAGGTAGCCTCAGACACCAGCCTTCAGTTTGCTTGTCCAGAGGATGGCTAGGCCACATGAGCACAAACAGCCCCGCTGTCCTGCGTGGTCTTCCCTATCACACATTCCCATGCAAATACTCCATTCAGATATTTCTGCAAAGCGTTGGCTTTAAAACAAACAGGGAAATAAACCAAATGTCTCTTACACCGGCAGGATCATAGTAGTGAAGATATGCAGGGTCCTCTCTCAAAACAAACTTTCTCACTTTCCAGTTCTTCCTCCGATGTCCCTAGGAAAATTCAAAACCAGGAATGTCGTGAACTCCTTTGACTGAAAGTGCTTATAGTCAGCTTACCCACACATGAGAGAACAAGCAAATACAAAAGAGAAAAAGATATTATTTTGGACAGAAATATTCACTGGAGTAGGACTTGAACCTAGCCTTTCTGCATCCCACTTTTTACACAACTGGGCTATCACATGGGTTTCTATTTTTAATTTTTGTACAAGGCAGAACAGCTTCAACATGTGAGATTCCCCTAAACACATCTCATAGTCTGCTAGTTATGATGTTCACGTGAGGTCTGGCAGAACTGGGTTTAAATGTTTGCCAGAAACCATGGCTGCAAAATTTCTTGCAGGAAGGTACCTTGAACTATTGGCAGGAATGAGCTGAAGCTTCTTCTATCCCTGTGAAGACAACAACAAAAAAAGGTTTATCTAGCTTAAGCACTTAGGGTTCACAGCTGAGAAGCTCAAGCAGAAATAACACCAACTTCCAATATGGATGTAGATGCCTCATTGTCTGTTTTCAAGACTGAAATGATGGGTGGGGAAAATCTAGATCTGATGAAAGCATCCTCAGTAGAAGCAGTGACGCTTCCAAGCATGATCACATCTGGTCACTGAGGGTGACCAAATCCAGACTAACACTGGTGGAATGACACGAATCACTTCCTCCAAGCATTTCAAAATATTAATTTCTCAATTAGCTGTGCTGGTCGCAAGAAAGCTTTTACTAAATAGGCAGATGTAAATGTGACAGGGTAAAAGTTAGCAGAAAGTTGTGTGTCTAATTTCTTCCATTGCTTTTGAGTAGTCTGACTGAGCAAAAGAAAGACAGGTGAGCACCACCAAAAAGTTCTTAGGAACTCCTAAGGAATATTTTAACAGTGGAGTTTTAGACTTGATATTAGGGAGCATTTCTTTATAGAGAGGGTGGTCAAACACTGGAATAGGCTTCCTAGAGGCACAGTCAATTGCCCAAGCCCATTAGTGTTTAAGAGGCATTTGAACAATGCACTTCTTAACATACTTTAACCTTTGGTCAGCCCTAAAGTGGTCAGGCAGTTGGACTAGACAGATGATCATTGCAGGTCCCTCCAACTGAACTATTCTATTCATTGAACAATCCTGGTCTTGCCTTCAGCTCACTAATATCTGCTTGCGATGGCCTCAAAAAGTAAGGATCTTACCATTATGTTCACCATATCACTTAAAGTTTTGCTGGAAAGGTATACAGTTATCTTCCATCTTACAGATAGGACAGGATCAGACACGAGTGACTGAAGGGAGACTCTTTTGTTCAGGTATGCTGAAAAAGCCTGTGAAAACCAGCCACTGAATCCAGTTGTGTGGCAAGAGGGACACTGGACTGGCAGCCTTTTTACCTGAGTTCAGTTCTGCATTGTATCAATGACTTGTCACATCTCCTGCTCTAGCACTCTTTCCTAATTAAAACTATAAACTGTCTTATTTCATAGCAAGAGCAAAAACCTTGCAACATTGGGCAAAAACCCTGCTGTCACGCTACAGCAAGCGTTCTTTGTGCAAAGACAAGAGGGACAGACATGAAACCTGTCTAGTGTGGAGACAGCATAGGCTAGTTTCTCTCTTTAAAGCTTTTTGGTGTAAATGAGTAATCTTGTACCCATGCAATGGTCAACCCAGTGACAGGATGGAAAATGAGCAATACTGACCTGTTTCAGCAGGCATCCTTGTTTGACTACTATGCCTCTGAATTCTTCTTTCAGGACCACATCATCATCACTAGAATTTCCCTCGCAGAAAAACCCACTGTCTGGCTGCGTGACCACAAGAGAAAATTCAGAACTTACACAGCTGCTTCATGTTTATGTACACATACAAATCTGGCTTCTCTTTGGCTTGCTTCCACCCTGGTTTTTGCCACCCAAAAATTCAACCATTTTACTGGAAAAGTCTCCCAGTAAGTTGAGAAGCGCTCCAAGTCACCATGGAAGCCTTTCAGAGTGAGGTAGGACAACACCAATGGGTCTCAGGGCATCTGAAGAGAGCTGGAGCATCTGTGTATATCTCAGAGCCTCCATTCTCTGTGTCACATTTCCGCCACGATGGAAGGCTGCCTCAATCCCATGACGTCACAGGTTTTTAAATGCACAGACAGCAGTTCATATGAAGCCATATCAGCACAGCGTAGCCATCCCTGCACCCAACACACCCTTCCTCTTCCTCCATCCATCACAACCATCTAGAATTTGGGGAGAAGAAATGCTCCATCCAGGATGTCTTCTCCAACAAGAACTGCCCTTAGTTTATGAAATTTGCAATTTTATTTTACAGCTGTGATGTTGTGATGTGTGCACTGAACCCAGGCAGTCTCAGGATCCATGCGTCACATCCATTCCACACCAGATAACTGTGATGCTACTTACTGAAACCATACACTGTTCCAGTGATGTAAATGCAGGTTACCACTTGTATGGTTTAGAGTAAATGTCTGTGCTGCCTACTTATATGATAGCAAGTTGGACATTGACCTGCTGTGGCCTTCTGTACCACATTGGTATTGAATCAAACTGAAAACAAGCTGAAAACAAGAAGAGCACACATGGGCTGCTAGGAGAAGTGTACCAGGTAGCCAGGAACTGAGATGGCCACACAACTGCCTTCAGCAGCAGTGGCTCTGCTTCCATTGCTGCACAGGTAAAGTCTATGGGGCATATTCTAGGAAAACAAATGAAGTAATGGGAGACTCATTTTGCTGAAGCTGAGTGATTCTATGTGGCAAATAGAAACAGAATTGTAATATTTATGCATTTTACTTGACAGAAGGCATACTTAGTTGTTAGCATAAGTTCATAAAACAAATATCTTTAAACCAGTATTTGACTGTGGCTATGATATGGCAAGTTCTTCAAGTCAATCTACAGAATAAGAAACAATAAATTGAAAAGGTTAAGTAAGCTACCCAGGACAGGTATTATTGGCAGACAGAAAATTTTTTGCTTCCCAGGACAGGTATTATTGGCAGATAGCAAAAACTTTTGCTTCTCTGCTCACAGGCAAGCTGTGTGTGTGTGTGTGTGTGTGTGTACACACACACTGAGTCAGATTTGATAGCTCTGCACAAAAATGGGTTTGTAGCTTATGCCACTCTGAAAAGCCCTATGATAATGAAGTCTTCCCTTCCACTGAACCATCAGGGGAACTGATGACTAAATTCTGGTCACTGGTAAAATTACCAGGAATGAAATCTAATTTTAAAACAACCCAGCTTGATGTCAGCTCTCAGTTCACACTTAGAAGGGTTCCAGAAAAAAAAAAAAAAAAAAAAGTCCTGCTTACAAATATTAAAGTGAGCCAGTTCATTCCAAGCATCATGTAGAGACAGACAATTCACATGGATCTCTCCATTTCTGTACAACCTTTCCTCCGCAACTTAAGAAACACAACAAGAAGCCTGAGAAAACCAGATCATCAGCAAGTCTGGGATGATAAAAAAAACAGAATACAACACTCACAAAGTAATAGTACGCATCGCTGAGATCTAAGAAGGGGGTGTCTGACAGTCCCTCAGCAGCAGCCTTGGACGTATCCCCTGCAGGCTGCAGGTAGCCTTCACTCAAGAGGGAAGAGGCAAGCATGAGACCTTCTTTGCGATTTCGGATGGAGTTGCTAGACACCAGCCAGTCAATCACAGAAGTTCCTAGTTACAAAGGAATAAACAGTATCAGCCACAAACCAAGACAAACACAAAGAAGCCTAAAAATACACAGGCAACAGGCTGACTCCATCTATTCATCAGTCTCCTGAAAGATGTCCTTAGTGACAATGCAGAGAGCTGATCTGGAAAGGTGCCTAGGTCACCTAGTGAGGTATAGCCGATCCACCTGATGGCAGGGGCCAGTACATCTTGAACACTGTACCTGAGGGAGAAAAGAGCTGGGAGGGGATGCAGGGCTGAGCTGGGAAGCCTCAGGGACTGGGGAAGTACAAAGGACAGCCAAGCCTGGAGAAGGCAGTCTTCCAGGCTGCTATGTTACTAACACAGTGCTGTTGAAACAGGGTGGATTTTGACTCTAGCAGCCACAGATTTGATTTGGAGAAGGACAGGAGTTACAATGTGACATGGTTTGTTGATGAAAAATTCAGGAATTAATAATTTTTCTGGAGTTGTTTCATGCAACTTTCTACAAAGATCTTCTTCAATCTTTCTGGCACCAGTTAAATGTCTTCCTCCTCTCTTGCTTACCATGGCCATAACAGAACACTTTTTCAAGCGTCATCCTTTAAGCACCCCCTGTGTTGGTCAAGAAAACTTCTGCCAGGCTTCTTCTCAAACTTCTCTGTGCTCTACAAAGCTTAGAGCTGTTTTATCTATCTTTAGTCTCTCAGCCCTGTGCTCCCTTTATTGTACAGAAAAGAGGGACAAGAGCTCCTTACCTGTAAAGCAGTGATTGAACACTTTTTTATCTTTTTCCAGCTTCAATTCCTTTATTCCCTTTTCAGGATCCTTCATTGAGAGGTACAAAGCACTGTGCATACAAAGAATCATGGAAACTGTTAGCAAATAAAAAGATTTAGCCAGTACATATAGTAACCCTGTTGTCATTCACGGGGTCTTCATGTTTTTCTGGTATAATTACTCTCTCTGCAGAGCTATAGCATGGCTTAGTTTAAGCTCTTGAAAAATGTACGTTGCAAAGCCTGGAGGCCTCACTACATCACTGTCACAGTTGCAGGAGCAGATGGGGGGAGCGCACAAACAGCTCACCACAGCCCCGTATTTTGAGAACGGAACGACTTGTGGTGACTGTAGTGTGAACAGAGGAACACTCACTGCTGAGGCATTTTCATAGGGCCCCACAGCCTCAGTGCCAATAGAGGAGCTCACTGCCTTGCACTGTGTTTCCCCAAAGGTCTTTGACCGAGCATAAAAACTTGTCACTGTGACATCTCCAAAGCCTGCATGGTCTCAGAGGCCCCAAGTAACCTCAGTGAACCCTGGTGTGACTTCCTTCCTCCCACTTGCTCAGAACTCTAATTCCTTGGAGCTCTGGAATAACAAGAAAGATGAATATTAAATGTCACAGGCTAAGTCCTTTGGTCTCTTAGTCAGGGTGATCCTCTACTGAAGCCTGTGAAGTCAGATTTAGTAGGATCTTGGCCCTGTGCAGTTTTACTGTCCTGTAAGCAGCACTGCAGGCTCATTTGTATCTTGGTATTTACTGCTCAGAGGGAAAAAAAAAAAAAAAAAAAAGTTGTCCTTAATTTTTTTAAAGTACTGGCAAACAGATAGTTTCCTGTGTATGCCCTTTATCTCTTCTGCCTTTGCCAGTTCCAAGTTCTTTGGCAGGCATCACTCTCCCCTCAACATCCAAAAACTAGGCTAACATCAGTGTTTCTTTGGAGAGCAAACAGGAGGTTTAAGATATTTTTGTAACAAATTATATACTGTATAAAAATGCCTCCCATTGAAGAATCACACTTTGGCTGGGATCCCCTCTTGCACTTCAGTGTGTGCAGAAATCTCCTTATCAGCAACAACCTTTGATAAATAAGCATTCTTTGGTAAAAGAAGATGTATTAAAAATGATCTTCCCACTTCTTATGGCTAGTTCATTTCTTCCACCTTCTACGCTCTGAAACTCTTAGTCATGCAGAAAGGACTCTGAGTGAAAACAGAGGTAGCATGGACAGACAAGATCATTAGCTCTTCCAGACTGAGGTTACTTATCTGGCACACAGCCTGCAGATGGAAGTAAATGGAGGAGCAGAGCTATGACAACAAACCTCAGGTTGATTGTTTCAGGCAGTCTGATAGACTTTCTTGTGGATTTTCTGGCAAACCTTTGGCCTCCATCTATGCAACGAATTGCTTTCTTGATATCTCGTACCCAGGCATCTCTCTCCTCCAGGTAGGCAGCTTGAAAAAAGTGGTCCTGCTGCTTGGCCGCAGTGAGCTTGAAGACAAACTGGAATGATAAATTATGTCTTTTTAAAAGTTACTGTGGTGTAGCCAGTTGGGCACGATTAACCTCGTAGCACCATGACATGCCTAAGGCACTGTGGTAAGTGCCTTAGAGCCACAGTTAAATTAAAAAAACAATGAAGAGAAACATGAACAGGCAATGCAAATAACTGACTCCTTTTGTTATTTCCCTTTGAGCGATACTGAGATTGTCAGTACAGCCAAGGTGAGTGGCACTGATATAGCTGCTGATTTTAACTTTTGCTGGAAAGTTCAACACAGCTGAAAGACTGAAGTGCCCAGTGCAGGATTACAGGGGGCATAAATCTTTTTATAGAGATGTGCTCAGTCTGAAGGAGGAAAAAACCCCCACATCATGTTGCTCAGCTATTGATTCGCAAGGTGAGAAAAGGTCACAGTCACATTGGAGAGTATCTGAACACATTTGCAGCCTAGCAAACCTTTAAGGGCTTAATAGGGAGGTGATGCATCCAACCCTTGGCTACACCTTATGACCACTACCTATCTAAACACACCAGTAACAATGGAAAGACTGTGTCTCCCAAAAATAAGAAAAGATCTTTTAAAGGTAGTTCTAAACAGAAAAAAATAACACCAACCTGAAAAAAAATAAACAACAACAACAAAAAAATCAAAACCCACAAAGTTCACACTGTTTGATCTCATTTTCATCCAGTGACCTTTTAGATGGAAAATCTAGATCTAATACTTGGGCAAGAGGGTTTCCACTTCCTCTAAAATACAGTTCCCCATAAGTGGAACTGTCATTTGTTCTGTAGTTATTAGAATAAATACAACAGGTTCTGACTCAGCATGCATCTAAAAATGACAGGCTAATTAACAAGCAAACAACACGGCTTTCTGAGGGCAAGTAAAGCAGAGACTAGTGTCAAAGAGCAAAGTGTGGTGAATCTACAGCAACGAAATCAAAACACTGAATGAGTCTACCGAAGCCTGTGTCAAAAATGGCACATGAACAACCCTAAGACGTATCTTCCAGACCGCTGCCAATGAGAAAAATTCTGGCGCCCTGAAATTGTGCAGAAGTTCCACTGATTTTCATGGAAGACAGATTTCAAACTTACAAAGCAGTGGGTCCTCAAAAATCCATTTCAGACAGAAAAGTAACCATTTATTATCTGACACTGTTCATATTTCCAGCAATACCCACCTTTTCTATTATGCAGTAAAGAGCTACATCCTGAAAATCAATGTACAGTGCATGTGAAAAGCAAACAGACATATCTCTCCAAATCCCAGTATCCAAGACCCAAGAGTCATGCTAGCACACCAGATTAATAGAATGAACTAGCAAATCATTAAACCAAGCTTTTACCAAAGGGAAAAATCAGCATTCTCCAAGTGCAAGAGCTGAGAAGCAACGTACAGTGAAATGCTCAAGAAGAGTTTTCATTTCCAGTACACAAAGGAGACTGGGAAAGCTCTTTCTCTTAACTTCAGCTGTTAGAAATCTAGGCCACTAAGCTAGACATCCAGGCTTCCTCTGAAACTGGTGAAGATGTTGGGTCTTCAGTCCTAGAACTGACCGAGTCTCCTTCTGATCATGTGTATCCGTTTGTACTGTGAGAAAATCAGACCATTTGACTGAACTAAACACCAACATCTTAAATAGTTTAAGTTAGGACAAATGAATCTGACTATGAGCTACCATACATCATAATGCTGTCCACAGGAAAGCCACGGGGAAAGCAGAGAAAGCACAAGTACAGGAGAATTAACATCACATTAAGGAATGATCAAACTTCAGATCAAGAACAGCAAACAGTGGTGAATGCATTTGGAAATAAAATCTCAAAATATGCAGTTGCAAGCCTTGTCTGAACAGGCTGTATCTCTGTTTAACAAATCCAAGATTGCTTCCTTTCCCCTCAGTACCTGCTTTTTGCAACTGATTTTGTAAACAAAGCGTATTGTTGATGTGCCCTGGGGTTTCAAGCTAAACCCCGATGCAGATACACAAGCCAATTCAGAAAGCTGAAATCTAATCAGATGAACATAGAAGTCTGCTCATGGCTCAATAGTCCTTGCTCCAAACTTATCCCAGGTAAGTGAGAATGGACTTAAAACTGACTGAATAAGAATTATCCCACTTTTCACCCTACAGAACTCCTGTCCTAAAAATATACTTGAATTTTTTAGCCATATGAAGTAAATGTATGCAAACCACCAAGAACCAGAATAGATCCCATAACAGGAAGAACTGTAGATTTTGGCACATAACCAATGAGACAAAGCAGGATGGAATGGAGAGGCATTGCATTCAGAAGTATAGTAAAGCTGAAAAAACGTAAGATACAAAAATCAAGATACCACATTTTCAAGGAATACATGTAGAAAATCAGGTTTAATCGTATTGGGCAGTAACTACTTGTAAGGACAACCCCAGTAATGGCATTGCATGAATGAGCATGTTGCAGTTTTGAATGTCTGAAGAGTGCAAATTTTAGGAGAAAATATGTCTCCAGGGCTATTTGTCTACAGACTTGAAGAACTATCTCACCAGCTCAATAAGGAGGATCTGCTCCAACACCTGCTGCAGTCGTTTGGATCGCTTCCACTGACTTCAGCAAACTCTGCATCAGATCTTAGTTATGAAAAAGTGTTTTGGGTGCCTCAACCCCCAGGTCTGAGATCCTTCTTTTTTTATTATTTATTCTCCTTCAGAAAAGGCCCCAGTAAACTCATAACGCAAAATGAGGCATAATGTAAAACTCATTGCAGTCAAAGAAACAATCCTCAAAGACTTTATCACCCTTCCATACAGATGCAATGCATCCTCTGCAAACTGGTACATCCTTCTTACTGATTTTGCCATCAACTGAAATTAAGTTACGTTTGGTTTTAATATGAGTATAGTATTAAGAGGTATTTTAGTAAAATAATTCGTTCGCATTTATTGCATTTTTCACCAGCAAACAACTGCTAGTTTAAAATCCCCTGTACAGTCCTGTACCAAGGCTGAAGGGAGTGGTCGTAATTAGCTAGTGGAAACAGTTAGGATGTAAGTAACAAAGCACAAAATGATTTGTAAACTGATTTATGATGCATACATAGGACTAGAAGAACGCAAGTAGTTGTCAAGGTCTAGGATTAATGGGAACTGAGGGATGTGACCATAACAACCTGCAAGTACCTGCCAAGAAACTGTGAATTTTAGCAAAAGGTAATTCCGGTAGGGGGAGATTGCAACCACCAACTCACATTACTAGACATTTCTAGACATTTCTAGCTTTCAGAAATAGGAGGAGAATATGTTAATAATTTATTGGATATTATATGTTTATGTATGAATACTTAATGAATATGTATGATATTCATTATAGTCCTATATAAGGTGTATGATTCTGGTGCTTGGCGTGCGTTGTTGGTGAAACGACTCCCCTGCGCACCCAGCTGTTAATAAAGAAGTGTCTGTCTGCTTTTCTACATCACATTGGTGTCAATAAGTTTTTATCCCGGTTTTCGGTGACATCCTCAGGCAGCCCTTTGGGCAGGTGAGGATTCCTCTCACTGCCTTCAACAGACGTCTGATACTTCAGACCTCTCTGCCTATTTTGTAGAATGCATGTACACTGCTGAATTATCTTTTCACTATCATTAAACGTGTTAATGACATTTCCAAACAACTACTATAGACCAATACCGATGTCAGTGCCTCTGTGGGAGTTAAAAATAAGACCCAAACAAATCTTCCCATGCAACTGTTTGGAATGTTTTGTGAGAAAAACTTCATTTCTACCATTATAATGTAAGATCTGTGATACTCTTGAACATAGTACCCTTCTTCCATGCATTATACCTCATGTATAGAGTAAGGAGTGCTGTGCTGAGACTTGTTAATTAGATAATGTAGGAACATGGTTTCAAATCAGCAGAATTAGAACCAGATGTGTGCAAATATACTTAATTTCTGCTCCGTTATTTGGTTATTTAATGTTCCCGCCCCATGCTCTAGTCTCTAGATGTAATTATGCTTCACCTTTATTATTCATGGTTTGCAAAAGACGTAAAGCCAAGTGCTGTAGCAAAGAGATCCCAGGCAGTGCCCTGAGATGCAACCCATGCTGGCTGAAGCAGAAGGTCAGATCCGAAGCCGCAGGGGTTAAACAGTAAGATTTGCCCAGCCCTGCCCAATGGTGGCTCAGGCAGGAGCCTTTAGCAATAAGGAAGAGTAAATGGGCTTGCCCAGCAGTCAGTCTCAAACCCGTCTGAATCAGTTGGACAATCGCCCTTGTCAGCTCAGGGATCAAAAAACCTGTGATGGGCATGAGGTGGGAATGCATGATCATACAATTCTTCCAGGCATGCTAATACAATCTCCTTCTGTGGACAACTCCCAGTACCTAGAGAGATCCAGGAAGAGCAAGCAGCTCTTGATGATCCTGGTCTGGGTGAGATATCCAAGGTAATGGTCCTCTAAAACCTTTTGTTCCCAAGAGAAGCAGCCATCTACAACTTCTTTGACCCAGCACAGGATTGACAGCAACCTTTATTCTCTGCCCCATCCTTTTATTGTATTGCCTCAAAGAGAGCTTTTGAGTTAAAAGCTCCATTTTCTTAACAGATCTAAGTCTAAAACGACTCCAGAAGAATCAATTTTTTTTTTCTACATGTAAATACGGAGTTTGCACAAAGAAGAAAAAAAAAAAAGAAAGAAGAAAGAAAAGAAGGAAGGAAAAAAGGAAAGCCAGCAAGTCAAAACCTGACACCAGGGGATGTTGACTCCACTTACCACAAAACCTAAGGACAAGTATAATTCTCCTCACTTTACTCATACGAGAAAGTGACACTTGCTCTCTCATGTGCTCTCTTACACTTTCTTTCTATTTTTCTAACGCTCTCAGAGACTTCTATCTTTAGTCACACATCCCTGCGGTAAATTTGTTTAAACTGTAATTGGATAATATTTCATATTCTGAAGGAACCCTTTGTCAGAGGAATTCCTGAGGGTATAATGCCTACTTGATGGAACTGAGTTGTTGAAATAACAAATGACTGATTAAAGGTATCATTCTTCACTCATACTAGAAATCTTGTTTTACCAACAACTATTTTTTGGGAACCCTGTATCAAAATATGTACGCTTGTACATTTATCTTTTTGTATCTTATTTTGTGTCAAATAAGATTCTGAATTTGTGTCAAATAAGATTCTGAATTTGTGTCAAATAAGATTCTGAATTTGTGATCTGTGTGTTTCCTACCCTCAACCTTAGAAATCCTAAATGTGTAGACAACATTTGGACTACTTTCTCTAAATTAGTTTCGTTTTTTGCTCTCTCTCTAAGTGTAGATGTGACTCTTAGTCACTTGCAAAAGCCCTACAAGTAACAATGCAGTGTGTGATTAATACAGATTGCATGAATGTGAAGTGTATGGGGTCAGATAGTTACCAAATGGTAATGAAAAGGTTTGGAATTACATCTTTATTTGGGCATCTGTGTCACAGCATTTATCTCCTTCCTGTCTGAGCAAATCAATTGTTGCTCTTTGATAGTAAGTAAATGTTTCCACTGCTCATGAAATAGTTTCCCACACCTTTATTCTGTGGCAGCTGCATTTATATTTAATACAGGAGTTGCACCATTCCAGCTAAGTAGACTCACAACAATATAATTTAGCTCTGCTCTCTGACAGACTCAGACATTAAAACAAAACAAAACACTTTGAGAGGAACAATTCAGAAAGTATCCCAATTTTTTTCCTGAGCAGTCAAACTTTTCAAATACTACACAAGTCCAAGCCTGCTTGTGACCTAAAGACAAGTGAGTGCTGCCACTAGGATGAGTGTAAGGTATCTATAACCACCAGCCTTTTGCCCCTTCAGTACCTCCGGGAGTGTAAGTATACTGTCAGTCATTGTTATTATAAGTACTTACCATTCTTTTACCAAAATCTTGGCATGGGCTGTTAACAGAGCTTCCTTTTAGTGGGACCATCCCTTTGGGGCTGTTGTCAGCCTTCCGCTTGTAGAATTCAATTCCATCTTCTAAGAGCACAACCCACATTGGCTTCCAGGTATTAAACATGCTGCCCTGCATCAATAAACCACTGTGTATATTATGCTCAATAAATCACTCTTCACATGATAATCACTGAAGATATGACCTTCCAGGGAGTGTCTGAATTGCACTAAAATAACTACAGTTAGTGTCTCAAGGGGAACATAACCTAACTGCACACATCTTACTATGCAGTTAAAAAAAAAAAATTGTTGTTATTCTTCTGATAACCATTAATTTCCCCTTGTAGTCACCCCAGCCGTAAGTTTTTTCAAAATCCCATTGCCTCCCCTAGAAGGTGTTTCTTTTCAGTATCGATTAGTCCCAACCACTGGCTTCAAGATGACATAGTGGCAGTATTATGAATAATCCTCAAAATTTCTGGATGTGAACTGCCACATTAGGACTGCCTCATTAATTTGGGTACCCTGTGCTGTATTTAGGACTTGATGCCACAATATAGTCAGTCATTGAGACTTGGTTGTCTGATAAGAAAGCACACATCTCAGAGGATTTCTAGACATATAAGAACAAACTGTAAGAGTAATGAATGGCTTAAGGGTCTGAGGCTGCAGATCTCCAGCTGCTGTGGTGAGGAATTGAAGTGCTTCATTTCATCTTTTAAAGCTTTTACTTCCTAATCCTGAAACACAGATGTTAGATGCAAGAAATACAGAGATAAAGACAGGGCTGGATCCTATGTACAATGAAACACCAAAGCAAAACTTTCAGGGACTCAAAGAGGAACAATCTGTTTCTCAATGATTAACTGCTAAAATTACTAAGACTACTGCACTCTAGCTAGACAACCTCTTTGGTCCTGCCTGCAACCAGCTTCAAAAGTGGTCACAATCCCAGATATCCAAGTGATTTACAGCACAGCCAAATGAACGTTTAGATATACTGAATACCAGCAGTTCTTCTGATGAGTTACCAAAGCACAACCAACATTTGTGAGCCCCTAATAAGAGGCCATCCTTCAAAAATATTAGTTTCCCTTGCTCTTTCTGTTACAAAGAGAGACCTAAATTTATCCTCCCCCTTCTACAACTCCACCCACAGCATCCCTGTCCTACTCAGACCACGGTGGCCGAGTAGTGCTAAAGCTGCAGACAGAAGGCAGGCAGCCACCATTGTGCTGTGCAAATGGCTTGTTTTGATTTGTTAAACCAGAGAACTGCGCACAGTCAGTAACATTTGCATTTTGTAATTCTGCAAAAGTGAATAGAATAAAAATATGCTGAGTCTTTTTTTTTTTTTTTTTTTTTTTTTTCCCCCCCAAATGAACCCTTTGTCTGTCACATCCTTTTTTGCTGCCTTAGCTTTCAATAAAGGCCTTTTTCACTGAATCAGACCCTATGTTCAATTACAGGGTGAGGAGGGAAACCTGTCAGACGAGATCTTATTAAGAGCAGCCATCACTGAAAGCAGAAGGTGCCCCACAAATTATTACTGCCTTCCAAAGGAAAGTGACAGTGCTGGGGGCTCTCTGGAAACCCAGCTAAACAGGGAACTAAAAGTAAGAGTGTCACCTGGGTACCACATACGGGTTTACTGCTACTTTCCTTTGATTTTTTTTAATTAAACCATGAAAATTTACCATTTTTTTTTGAGAGCCCAAATTGACCCACTGGTTGATTTTCTGCTAAGAAATCAATTAAGATGATGAGCCAAGACAAGAATTGTTGAAATTTCCTTTTGTTTGTGGGCTTACAATACTTCTGCTCATAAACAAGCAAGTCTAGTACTTTCTGAACACCAGACTCTGACAGCTCAGCCAATGGAAGCCACCACAGTGTTAAGACTGGCAGTCTCAGATCCACACTATCAGCAAACCCAAACACGGTCACATCGGTCTCATCTAAAACATTTCATGAAAGACAAGCAAGAAGGATGCTGGATTTGATTTTCCTGGACTAAAAATCAAATTGTCACACCTACACCAAAGACTGCAGATGTAGATGGGTGTTCCCTGAATTACTCTCTGAAATCATTAGCCATTTTAAAAACACACACAACTTCCCTTCAGTCGAACAACTTATTTTTATAAGATCTGCAGCACTACAAGATTAGAAAATTAGTTCTTTCTTATGCTCAAAAGATGACACAAAGGCCCCAATATATACTAATAGACATTTAAGCTGACCTAAATCAACACTGAGGTCTGAACCCACGTTCACTGGGGGTCACATCATCCCAGCTAAAGTACTGACCCCCAAGCACAACACTGTTCCCCAGCCTAATGTAAATATCTCTGCAAAGAGAGCTGTGGCTGCATGGATGACACCTTTGGGAAATCAAATTCTTGATTTCACTTTACATAAAGGAGAGGAGAAGAGTACATAACTAGCAGGTAAGGTTAATCAGGAGCATGCCTGGCCTTGCTGAAAGCTGATTGTGGAATTTATAGCAACCTCACTGATGGATCAAACAACTGGCACCTGTCTGATTTGTATCTTCTTTTGCCCTCCAGCCCTTCCTCTAGTACACCGCTGCTCCTCACCACCAGCATAAACCCACTTCTGTAAGGACAGACCACCTATGAGGCTGTTCTAGGAAATGGGCACAATTTCCATTTCCCTGTTGCCATTGCAGCAGCACCCAACAGCAACTTTAGTAGTACCTGCACAGAGAGAGGTTTTGGGGACCCAGCAACCCCAGGAATCTGAGGGAATGACACTGCCACATCTGTATGCATCTTTTCCCCAGCATACCCAGCCAGGCACACAGTTTGGGATTGTCCCAGTGTCTAAATTTCCAGCCATTCCCCTGTCATGGATGAATATAGATCATGAGTCACTTGCTCTCTCTATCAGGCCATTGGAACTAGAGACCTACAAACTGCACAGCATGAATTTGGCTCTTTCCTTCCACATGACAGCATTACTGCAGCTTTGCAATTACTCTCTTCCTTCCAGTGTCAGTGGAAACAAGACTGAGGAGCAGCCTCTTCACAACACTGGTCCCAGACTAAAGATCCCTCCGGCCAGCTGTGCTAATGAGTGACATTCTCATTTTGATAAGCAGAGACACCACAAGAGAGAGCTCCTCTCTTGCTCCAGGACTGACACTGGAGCAGTTTCGTTAGGCTGCTTTAAGCCAGACTGATCTCACAAAGGATTTAAATGAAAGTCAAAGCCTTATCCTACAGGCTCTACCACAAAAAGACTCCAGAGCAGAGGTTGCTGTAGGGCTACTGCCTTCCCAAAGAATGGAAGTGCCTGTGGCCCCACACACTGTTTCCAGGCCAAGGTGACCTGACCTCTTTAATGTCACGATGCTTCCTTCATGTTTAACCCAGCGATTAAGTGCAATCGAGCAGGCTGTGGCCATTTCAAGCTGTGGCCTGTTTTGCCAAGCTTCCAGTAAGGGCATTAGGTTACTTAATAAAAATATAAATCTTTTGATCCAAAGGTACGTCTGAGATATATGCAAAATACCTTATGAAGTATATTGACAAGACATAACCTCTATCAAGTACCTCTATAATCACTAACCCCACATTGTTTTACTGCTCAAGGAATTCCATTCATTTGCCTGTTCTTTTTGGAAGAAATTATTCTCTTTTTAAAAACTGAAGTGTGTTCCCCTACACCTCCCCAACATGTTCAAAGTTAGCCTCCTCCTCCATGCAGTCCAAAACTGCCCACTTACCTTCTTAACCAAGTAGCCCTCCCTTATGCGCATTGGTTCTCGCTCCATGTCTCAGGCAAGCCTGCTCTCAGGTCTATCAGTGCTGGCAGTTAAGTTCCTCTGGCAGCAAAGTCCGTGGGCTGGCGTTTTTACAGTACAGCTGTGTCACTTTCACAAGTTCCTCTGCCTGCTAATCACATGAAAACAAGCCCATTTCCTCTTACAGAGTAAGAGATAGGGAAACGCAGAGGCACGTGTGTATTTATAGTTTGCCTCTGACAGAACAGGCAACTGCCTGACAAAATGCATAACTGTATCAAATACAGCCAGCCTTGATGACAGAGTCCTGGGAAACTAAATAAGCGTATTAGTGCCCATTCCCAAGGACTTAGGCCCACTCTGCAAACACATGAACTCTAGCAAAACAACAAACAGGGTGGCATGCTGTGTTGCCGCTTGGTGCATGCCAAAAGGATCTCGGAGACAGGTTTCCAGCTCACCGGTTCTGTCACTTCATCCCGTCTTTGAAGACTGACTCTCAGTGGGTGAGCACCTGGGCCTTGGCAGCGAGCTGGAGGGCCCTCACTTAAAGATGATGCGCCCTCTGCTGATACGAGAAATTTGTTTATTGCACTTAATCAGGTTTTGGAGTTCCATGCTGGGGCCTCCCAAAGAGGTTAGCTGTCAAACAGGCATAAATGGACTAGACCAGAACACTACATGAAGTGTCGCAGAATGTCACCTTCTATGAGCATCTCTGACTTGCTGCAGAGTTCATTTGGTTACAGTTGGTGTGAGTTTCAATAAGGCCAAATGCAGGGTTCTGTGCTTTGGCCACAACAACCCCCCAGCAGCGCTACAGGCTTGGGGAGGAGTGGCTGGAGAGCTGCCAGTCAGAGAGGGACCTGGGGGGGTTGATTGACAGCCGGCTGAACATGAGCCAGCAGTGTGACCAGGTGGCCAAGAAGGCCAATGGCATCCTGGCTTGTGTCAGCAATAGCGTGGCCAGCAGGGACAGGGAAGGGATCTGACCCCTGTACTCGGCACTGGTGAGGCCGCCCCTCGATTCCTGTGTTCAGTTTTGGGCCCCTCACTACAAAAAGGCCATTGAATGACTCGAGCGTGTCCAGAGAAGGGCAACGGAGCTGGTGCAGGGTCTGGAGCACAGGTCTGATGGGGAGCGGCTGAGGGAACTGGGGGGGTTTAGTCTGGAGAAGAGGAGGCTGAGGGGAGACCTCATCACCCTCTACAGCTACCTGAAAGGAGGGTGCAGAGAAGGAGTGAGTCTCTTGGACCAAGTAACAAGAGATAGGACAAGCAGGAATGGCCTCAAGCTGTACCAGGGCTGGGTTAGACTGGCTATTAGGAACCATTTCTTTCCAGAAGGGGTTGTGAGGGTTGGAATGGGCTGCCCAGGGCAGTGGTGGAGTCCCCATCCCTGGAGGGGTTTAAGAGTCAGGCTGACCCAGCGCTGAGGGATCTGGTGGAGTTGAGAACATTCAGTGTGAAGTTAATGGTTGGACTGGATGATCTTCAATGTCTTTTCCAATCTAGATGATTCTGTGATTCTGTAAAAGATAAGACAAAGCCATAGTCTTCCAAAAGTTGATATATACCAGAGACACAGTTCCTCTTCCCCATACAGAAGGAAGAGCGGTGGTACATGGGATGCAATAAGGAGGATTCTACATTGCCAATAGCAAAGTAATCTCCCATGTACAAGACTCCAACTCACTTTTACAGCTGAGCCTATTCAGATACGGGTTGAGCCCAGGGTTACTCCTTCTGTCACCTCTGCCACTGGTAAAGATCCCCAAACAGGGACTTTTCTGCAGACAGAAATTCCTGCTCTCTATTTGACTTTGTCTCAGCCCTTACTCAGAAGTATGCAGAAGTCTGACAAGGTCTGTGATAGAGGATCAGAGGATAAGAAGAGCCCTCAGAGACTTTCTCTGGCCATTCCTTGCTGATGCCTATTTAGGGGTTCTCCCAGATGAGACTCCACTCCTTTCTTGGTCACCTGTATTAGTGCTTCACTGTCTCAAACACTGAATGTTTCTCTTCAGTCTGAATTCAGCTATTTGATTCCAGACCTTTCTCAACTAGCTGCTGCTTAAATGACCCCTCCAGTCTCATCTTCAGGCAGAGCACCTGTCTGTAGCTGCAGTCTCAGGCTATACACTTTGCAGTGCATTCTGTCCAAAGCACACCTTTTTGTGATGATTTTATGTATTATTAGTGACTTGCAGAGAAAGAAAACTCTACAACTGTGAAGTTGTAAAGTAGGTATGTTTATTCAGCGCTGGGCACATGGGGGATCGCTCCTCCACAAGCATGCGCATCGTTTGCAGCTCCCATCCTGCTTATATATTACAAAATAATGCATATTCATAGAATGCTTATACATAAACATAATATTTCCCCGCCTCCCCTCACTTCTCATGGTAATTAGGTCTCCTCCTCTTGCGTCTGCATGTTGAGCTCCTTTGGTGGTCGCAAATTCCTGGGTGGGGGTCATATAGAAGAAGTATCTCCTCTTCCTCGCTGATGAACTTTTTACCTTGTCCTGCGCAGCCTCAGTTGTTCCCTGGCTCCTAACTAAACCGCAAGACCAGTTTGTACTAGGATTTTAGGTGATCTATTGCTAATTTGTACTACTTCAAGGACAATAGGAAGCTTCTGTTTGAGCCAGATGATAATATCTTAGCAACAATATCAAAACCTGGTATGTCTTCGTGCATAGCCCCCTCATCTTGGTGCAAGCTCCTCAGTCCTGTGCCATCAATCTGAAATTATTTTAATTCCCTATCTCATTAGGTCATTTGGATTTTGTTTCTGGAACCTACAGAGTCTCAGTACATTGCTCCTTTACTCCTGTAAATCATGCTATTGCTGTAAGGGCCCTAGTTGCTGACCAAGCCAGTCACCCATTAGACAGTTTGCAAATCAAAGATTTAATATATGCTTTCCAATTCTCTGGCTGTCAAGTGTACCTGACATCAGCCAACAGATTCTAAATTTATTAGAGAGACAGTAACTCACACCTAGCTAATAAAAGCTTCACGCTCTTTGGAAACAAAGCTAAAAAGTGATCACTAAAGTTTTATCACTAAAAAGTGATCAGAAAGATTTGTGTCACATTTACAGTAAAGAATCTGCCTACCAGTCCCAGGGCCTGGAATGAACTGAAGACACATCCCAAAGTTGAGATGATCTAACTGAGTTTCCGTTTCTGTGAAGGCTCCCTTCATTTCCCATAAGCCTTAAAATGATGCCTGATAAACTCAGGAGCTTGTAGACTCCTCCTATATAATGTCTTCTTTGGTCAGTAATTCCTTTTGCTTTAAGAAGGTGAATTATTTCCTTCTCTTCCCTTTCATTCCAGTGGTTCTATCTTTGGGAAAAGGTACATATATTTTTTTTTGCTCTGATTGAATAACGCAAAAATACAGGTCATAGACAACGACAACTCAAATTAAATACCTTTCACTATAGTTAAATTATCCCTTTTTTAGCTGCCTTGAGGCCATAATGCTACAGAGCCTGGTCAAGCATTAGAGACAAAGAAGTTGCTCACAGTTAGTTCTTCCTTCTGTTTCTACCTTGCAGCCCCTCAGACCTGAGGAAAGGAAACCCCTTCCCCAGCTGGAAGTGCTTATGGGGAAAAAAGACAAAAGAATCTGACAGCATTTTCCTCCCTGCAGGCAGTCCTTCCACATCTTTTCCTGCTCATCTGCTCCTGCTGATTTGTACTGAGTCAGGATGACAGGGCCCTGCACAATTAACTGATGATATGAAATGTCCAGGGACAGATCCTCTTCAACTGAACATCTATATAACCTTATACTAAAAAGTAGTTTAATCTGAACGGAAAAGGATGCTGACTCCACACTTTCGCAAAGCTCAATTTCTCATTTACCTGCATGAAGAGCCCTTGGAAGTGTGAAATGCAATTCTAGACACAGTGGCACCAAGCCAATGACTCCAGAATTTACCATTAGCTACTTAAGGAACTCAGTGTCAAAGCATAAAATTACCTCCATCCAGTATTAGCTGAAAACAACTACTTTTATAACACTTCTTTCCTCTATATTGTTTCTATTTAATCCTCAAAACTCAGCTATTCCTTTCACCCTTCTACCTTACATGTCTGAAATAATCCTTTTCTTTTAACACTGAGGCTTGGTTTCATTTATCACAGGTCACCACCGGGGAATCAGCACTTCCTCTTGCCCCAGGCAGAAATGTGCTGATCAGCGAAATCATTCATGTGAAGCAAAATGTTCCTTAACCATGCAGTGGCCACGGCAGGTATGAGGGATGGCCTGGACTGCTCATGCATGTCTTCTTTATGCAGCCATTCCTAAAGAGCAGCACCAGGCATGAGAGCAGAAAAAGCTGTATTTCTTCTAGCTCTCCGCAGAGGGGAGGATAGAGCTTTTTCTGGCAGAAAGAGAAAGTAACCTGCATTGTGGAAACCTGCCATCACTCACACTGTTCTCTCCGTTTTTGTCTTTAGTAAGTAAAGGTGCGTGATGCTGGATTAGCAACATTTGTCACAATAGCACAATCTGCAATAGAGCTCAGTATCTTAGTTCAGTTTGCTGGTAAGTGATCTGTTCTTGTACAGGAGATCTTGCTGCCGTATTTCCTCCAAAATTCTGGTTTTTTTTTCTGCCACCTCAAGGTCCACTCCTGCAAGCATTTAACAAAAAAAAAAAAAAAAAAAAAAAAAAAAAAGCTGAGAGACTGGTGGGCATTTATACCCAAAATTGGAACCATATCTTTGCAAATAAACATGTCATCTGCAAGGAAGACAGGCAGTTTCTCAGCTTGTTACTTCAGCTTCACTGCTCTCTCCACGAGCCTTTGCACAGCTGCTCTTCAAACATGTTTGCTGCATTGTAAATGCCATAAGCCCGCTCCATCTGTAACACAGCACGTGAGTTCTCCATAAATATGCATCTCTCCGGCAAATCAAGCTGCATTTCCAGGAGAAATTAAATCAAAAGCCCGATGTTCAAAATGATTGGCTACACGGGAAAAAATAATATGCAGAAGTGGTTTGCAAAGGTGATAGACTCAGTCCATCTTATAGTTCAGTAAAACCCTTTCTCACTTCTGCGCAGAGGCAGAGGTCTCAAAAGAATTACAGTATTAAATGGAGAGCTGGCAGGTGCCAGTCTCAGCACAATTCACTCCATACGGAATCACACATATGGCTATTTTTAGCAAGTGAGAGATTGTGGCTTTGGATCCACTTCTCAGAAAGAAACCCAAACCCGGAACATTTCCAAATTTAGCACTATGTAAGGAAAGGAATCAAAGAGGGGCAAGCATGAAAAGACTATTACAGGTATTGTCCATGTCACCTTGGAATCTAAATGCTGTGGGCTGGCTGCCATAAATGAACCATCTTGTTCTGCCTCAGGCACATTTTATATATTTAATTATTGTAGAGTTACACAGCAGGATTAGTGCATTAACTCTAAGTGGGAAGGCCTGCATTAATGATAATACTGGAAAAGTTCATGCAGTTGCCATATTATGCATAGAGAGATTACATTGAGTGGATGCAGTCAAGAAACCAAATTGATTTCTCCAGAATGTTTTCCAGACAGATTGGACCAGCACAAAGCGTAGGCCATGACTTATCTGTATATTAACTCTGGCTTTTCATTGGATGCATCCTACCTCACCTGTGATGCACTCACTTCTCCCCTGCAGTAGTCCCCCATCAGTGATACATGCAGGTGATGTAGCTGCAGCAGGGAAGGCCTAGGCACAAGAGAGAGGTCTTGGAGGATGACGCTGCAGTGTGAGAAGACTTTCCTAGTTCTGGGAAGAAAAAGAGAGATGAGAATAGCTGTGCATGCTGGCTGCAGCTCACTTGAGGGGGTTCACCACTCCCTTCAAAAGCACTAAGGGGTTCAGAACATAAGACGTTATCAGATCAGTGAAAAGCAAAGCAATACCTATGTTTAAAATTCCTTCTTCATAGAAGTTCTGCTCTCACCACTGTTTCACTTTCACATGGTAAAACAGTTACTCATCCTATGCACATATAATCCATAATATGATGCTTTTTTAGTGTTCTCCCTCGTGTTTGCCACTTTTGCTGTAGTGATCTGGAATAAAGTCACAGCCTGATCTGTGTCCAGACAAAGATGATCATTCAGGCAGAAATAATAAGGGAATAAACCTCGTTATAGATCTGACCTCTCATGTACTTGGGAAACGAATTGCAATCAATGTTTTCAGCTACACACAATTTACTACAACATGATATGTCTGGCCCATGAGGAGAGTAAAACTGATCCCTTACAATAGCCATTATTCTTCACACACCACTTTAAGTGGTACTATCAGATTCCCCATGTGTAAGGCCTCTGTGATTTCATACTGAATTACATTGAAACTAACAGAAGTGGCAGTTGCTGCAAGGAAAACTTTCAACAAGCCACAAAGTGCAGCAGTTTCAGCAGAATATAATGAAAAATGGGAATTCTTTTGCAATGAAAAAAAAAAGATAGGGAGAAACATGAATGTGGTCTATATAGCAGCTGCTTCCTCATCTGAAAACCTGTGCATAATAGCCCTTGACTATCTGATAACTTCAAAGATATTTTCAAGCCCATTCATTGTTGACCTCAACAATGCTTGGAGGGATTAATTTTACCTAGCTTTTGGTGGACTGTTTTTGAGGACCTTTAAAGTCAGCAAAGATGATTGCAACGAATCTAAGGAGTTCAGTGTATGATTTGTGATCAAACGTTGACCCCCCCACTATGGGCTGAGTTGCTCCTGCAACTTACTACTTGATTAGATGCAACTACTCTCTGACTAGGTGCCCTTTGACAATACAAGTCTTAGGTGACTCACCAAGCCCAAAAGATTCTCCTTATACATCAGCATTGATAATGCCGCTGCCTCATCATACACAGGGAAGTTAGGGGGTTTTTAATAGCATTTGTTTCACTTTTGACTGTTCAGGGGAGAAGCAATGACTGCATTGTGTAACAGCTTCTCTATAGGGGAGTCCCTGCTATTGAAGGTATGATGTTACTTACAAAGCTCATCATATACACAGTTCGGAGAGGCAGGGATCACACCCTGCCCTTATCTTTGTGGAAATCTGGCTGTCTGGACACATTAGGAAGTCTATTCTTAGCTAGATACCTAACTAAGGTAAATATGGTAGGTTTGGGTGGGTTTGTGGGGTTTTTTTTCAGAGGTTGTTTTCAACAGAATGTATTCTTTCGCTTAACGTTCACAATAAAATTAATTCCCTAATTAACTTGCATGTGCTAAGAAATGCAGCTAGGTAATGCTGTATCTTCCATTTGGCTTTTACCACCATGTGTACATCCTAGCTTTAGGAAAACAAAGAAAAGGTCAAGGTCCAGTGCAACATGTAGCTGTGAAATTCTCCTACCAAAATCATTAATTCTACCATGACATTCAATCAAACAAAAAATATACCTGTAGCCCAAGTCCCATATCAGACATGAGAATGTTGCAGTTTTAACAGCAAACAAGAACAAATGCAAAAGAATGGGAAGGATGCACAAACCTGCTCCTGGGTTAAAAGCAATCTGTTAGGTGTGAATGAGACCTGTAGAGAGTTGAATTATGGTACGACTTGCAGTTTCAAAGGTCCTTCTCCTTGCAGAAGTGGTACCAGCCATAGATAAAGAGTAGCATTAGACTTAAAGAAATGAGATTCTGATCTGATCCTGCAATTAGAAAGGGCTTTTCTCCTATTAAAATAAGAAGATTGCAATAAAGTGATTTTTTTTTTAAAAATCTCAACAGAAACCCTGGACCAAATATTGATGTTGGCTTCAGAGAGCAAGAAACTGACCCTCAGTCTAGGCATGCTAACAACTCACAAAACCCTTTTTGCCGTACAAGGGAGAGAGAAAGAGCCCCCAAACCCTATCTTTGCTCTCTGCTCTCCGCTCCCTTTGGGGCAGCCTTGGCTGTTGCATGCCGCCAGGCTGATGCTTCAGCCCAGCCCCGAGGGCTCGATCAGCCCGCGGGGAACGGCTCCCGGCGGCGAGGCGCCCAGAGGTGCGGCTGGGAGGAGGTTTCCCCCCGGGGAGGTGGTTGGGAGGGGGTCCCCCCCGCGGCGGGGCGGGAGCGACCCGCCGGGCTCCTTGGCCGGCGGGCAGCGCAGCAGCGGCAGCCCCGGCCCGACCGCCCCGCCGCGGGGGGGACCCCCTCCCAACCACCTCCCCGGGGGGAAACCTCCTCCCAGCCGCACCTCTGGGCGCCTCGCCGCCGGGAGCCGTTCCCCGCGGGCTGATCGAGCCCTCGGGGCTGGGCTGAAGCATCAGCCTGGCGGCATGCAACAGCCAAGGCTGCCCCAAAGGGAGCGGAGAGCAGAGAGCAAAGATAGGGTTTGGGGGCTCTTTCTCTCTCCCTTGTACGGCAAAAAGGGTTTTGTGAGTTGTTAGCATGCCTAGACTGAGGGTCAGTTTCTTGCTCTCTGAAGCCAACATCAATATTTGGTCCAGGGTTTCTGTTGAGATTTTTAAAAAAAAAATCACTTTATTGCAATCTTCTTATTTTAATAGGAGAAAAGCCCTTTCTAATTGCAGGATCAGATCAGAATCTCATTTCTTTAAGTCTAATGCTACTCTTTATCTATGGCTGGTACCACTTCTGCAAGGAGAAGGACCTTTGAAACTGCAAGTCGTACCATAATTCAACTCTCTACAGGTCTCATTCACACCTAACAGATTGCTTTTAACCCAGGAGCAGGTTTGTGCATCCTTCCCATTCTTTTGCATTTGTTCTTGTTTGCTGTTAAAACTGCAACATTCTCATGTCTGATATGGGACTTGGGCTACAGGTATATTTTTTGTTTGATTGAATGTCATGGTAGAATTAATGATTTTGTTAGGAGAATTTCACAGCTACGTGTTGCACTGGACCTTGACCTTTTCTTTGTTTTCCTAAAGCTAGGATGTACACATGGTGGTAAAAGCCAAATGGAAGATACAGCATTACCTAGCTGCATTTCTTAGCACATGCAAGTTAATTAGGGAATTAATTTTATTGTGAACGTTAAGCGAAAGAATACATTCTGTTGAAAACAACCTCTGAAAAAAA